ATTATTTATCCATAAATAACTTACTGTATATTAATAGGGTATAGTTCGTCTTGGTATATTAGATACTATATTTAATGGTGATTCGAATGGTATATCGTAACCCAATTCGCGATGTTTACTTCACTGGGCAAATCCACTTTGAAGATATCAGTCAAAAAAAATAACTCAAAATTATTTATCCATAAATAACTTACTGTATATTAATAGGGTATAGTTCGTCTTGGTATATTAGATACTATATTTAATGGTGATTCGAATGGTATATCGTAACCCAATTCGCGATGTTTACTTCACTGGGCAAATCCACTTTGAAGATATCAGTCAAAAAAAATAACTCAAAATTATTTATCCATAAATAACTTACTGTATATTAATAGGGTATAGTTCGTCTTGGTATATTAGATACTATATTTAATGTGATTCGAATGGTATATCGTAACCCAATTTGCGATGATTACTTCACTGGGCAAATCCACTTTGAAAATATCAGTCAAAAAAAATAACTCAAAATTATTTATCCATAAATAACTTACTGTATATTAATAGGGTATAGTTTTTCTTGGTATATTAGATACTATATTTAATGGTGATTCGAATGGTATATCGTAACCCAATTCGCGATGTTTACTTCACTGGGCAAATCCACTTTGAAAATATCAGTCAAAAAAAATAACTCAAAATTATTTATCCATAAATAACTTACTGTATATTAATAGGGTATAGTTTTTCTTAGTATATTAGATACTATATTTAATGGTGATTCGAATGGTATATCGTAACCCAATTCGCGATGTTTACTTCACTGGGCAAATCCACTTTGAATATATCAGTCAAAAAAAAATAACTCAAAATTATTTATCCATAAATAACTTACTGTATATTAATAGGGTATAGTTCGTCTTGGTATATTAGATACTATATTTAATGGTGATTCGAATGGTATATCGTAACCCAATTCGCGATGTTTACTTCACTGGGCAAATCCACTTTGAAGATATCAGTCAAAAAAAATAACTCAAAATTATTTATCCATAAATAACTTACTGTATATTAATAGGGTATAGTTCGTCTTGGTATATTAGATACTATATTTAATGTGATTCGAATGGTATATCGTAACCCAATTCGCGATGATTACTTCACTGGGCAAATCCACTTTGAAAATATCAGTCAAAAAAAATAACTCAAAATTATTTATCCATAAATAACTTACTGTATATTAATAGGGTATAGTTCGTATTGGTATATTAGATACTATATTTAATGGTGATTCGAATGGTATATCGTAACCCAATTCGCGATGATTACTTCACTGGGCAAATCCACTTTGAAAATATCAGTCAAAAAAAATAACTCAAAATTATTTATCCATAAATAACTTACTGTATATTAATAGGGTATAGTTTTTCTTAGTATATTAGATACTATATTTAATGGTGATTCGAATGGTATATCGTAACCCAATTCGCGATGTTTACTTCACTGGGCAAATCCACTTTGAAGATATCAGTCAAAAAAAATAACTCAAAATTATTTATCCATAAATAACTTACTGTATATTAATAGGGTATAGTTCGTCTTGGTATATTAGATACTATATTTAATGGTGATTCGAATGGTATATCGTAACCCAATTCGCGATGTTTACTTCACTGGGCAAATCCACTTTGAAGATATCAGTCAAAAAAAATAACTCAAAATTATTTATCCATAAATAACTTACTGTATATTAATAGGGTATAGTTCGTCTTGGTATATTAGATACTATATTTAATGGTGATTCGAATGGTATATCGTAACCCAATTCGCGATGATTACTTCACTGGGCAAATCCACTTTGAAAATATCAGTCAAAAAAATAACTCAAAATTATTTATCCATAAATAACTTACTGTATATTAATAGGGTATAGTTTTTCTTAGTATATTAGATACTATATTTAATGGTGATTCGAATGGTATATCGTAACCCAATTCGCGATGTTTACTTCACTGGGCAAATCCACTTTGAAAATATCAGTCAAAAAAATAACTCAAAATTATTTATCCATAAATAACTTACTGTATATTAATTGGGTATAGTTCGTCTTGGTATATTAGATACTATATTTAATGGTGATTCGAATGGTATATCGTAACCCAATTCGCGATGTTTACTTCACTGGGCAAATCCACTTTGAAAATATCAGTCAAAAAAAATAACTCAAAATTATTTATCCATAAATAACTTACTGTATATTAATAGGGTATAGTTTTTCTTGGTATATTAGATACTATATTTAATGGTGATTCGAATGGTATATCGTAACCCAATTCGCGATGTTTACTTCACTGGGCAAATCCACTTTGAAAATATCAGTCAAAAAAAAATAACTCAAAATTATTTATCCATAAATAACTTACTGTATATTAATAGGGTATAGTTCGCTTGGTATATTAGATACTATATTTAATGGTGATTCGAATGGTATATCGTAACCCAATTCGCGATGTTTACTTCACTGGGCAAATCCACTTTGAAGATATCAGTCAAAAAAAATAACTCAAAATTATTTATCCATAAATAACTTACTGTATATTAATAGGGTATAGTTCTTCTTGGTATATTAGATACTATATTTAATGGTGATTCGAATGGTATATCGTAACCCAATTCGCGATGTTTACTTCACTGGGCAAATCCACTTTGAAGATATCAGTCAAAAAAAAATAACTCAAAATTATTTATCCATAAATAACTTACTGTATATTAATAGGGTATAGTTCGTCTTGGTATATTAGATACTATATTTAATGGTGATTCGAATGGTATATCGTAACCCAATTCGCGATGATTACTTCACTGGGCAAATCCACTTTGAAAATATCTGTCGAAGTTCGACATTTTTAGTAAAATATTAATAAATTTTTATTTATTTCACATATTTTTCATGTGTTCCATTTTCTTTCTTTTTTAATCTTTGTCCCCTTATCTCTTTAAACTTAATCATTTTTTCTCTCTTTGTAGCGATTAAGTTTCTCATTCATTTGTGCTAGTATAATATTTCCGCCCTTAGCGGCGATGACTAAGCTTGAGAATAGGAAAGAATGATTGCCCTTAGTGGCGCTAATTAACTTCCTATAAAACTAAATGTATTTTTCCCTTTCTTTGGATTTTAATCATTCATTCATTATGTATTAATCTAAACTAAATCCCTTTCTCTACGATTTATATTATTATTTATTCTTGGAATAAATTAAATTATTTGGAAAATATTTGGATAAATATTTTAATTTTACAAGTGTTGTAGGACCTAATCGAATCGAATTTCGACATCTGGCGAGCACGGCATCAAACTTGGACAACACTTGCTGGGAGGTGAATTTATTTTTAAATAAATTTAATTAAAATAAAAGGCCTGGAAGAGCCAAATTTAAATTTAAAAAATTTTTCACCTAGAATTAGCTTGGAAAAGCTAATCTAAACCTTTTGGGGGGAGATTAGAATTAATTTTTTAATCTAAGAATTGGCAATAAAATTTTTAGAATTTTATAAAATTTAATAAACGGAACTTAGTTTCCTGATTTAATAGCAGAATGTCGGTTTTTACGATTCTGCAGGTTGAAATTTTAGCAGGAAACTTAAAAGGAGTATTAGAAAGGGAAATTCCGGCGGCGTTAGGGCCGAACGCAACGGAAAATCAGCTGAGAAGACAGCTATATTGGACAACAGAAACTATTAGAGAATTAGAAAGAAATATAGATGAATTGAAAGAGGTATGCAGCAACAGCAAAGACGACTGTCAAAAGCTTTCAGTCAAGGAAAAAGAACTGAAAGAAAATCAATTTCATCAAAAACTGGTAGAACTGGGCGTTAGTGCCATGATAGTCGCAACAAAGCCGAAATTAGAATTATGGAATAAATTTCGGGTTCAGTTAGCGCAAAGATTAGACGTACAACTAGATTGTATAGACATCCCCAGTGCAACCCCAAATACGTCTCAGCACATGACTCGTTCGGAAACGAATAGATTACAACGTCCACCCATACAATTACGCCGCTTTGACGGCAAAATAGAAAACTGGTGCGCTTTTTGGGAGACGTACCGTGTTTTAATACACGAGGATAGCACTCTAAGTCATGTGGAGAAGTTCAACATTTTAGAGTCCATACTTGACAACGAAGCTAAAGACCTGATAGAAGGTCTACAGATGACAAATGAAGGGTATAACACAGCCATCGATCTTCTTTTATCGAGGTTTGGCAACGACAAAAAACTAATTCGGTCTCTGAACCAAGAATTATTAAATTTGCCAACTAGTGAAACTTTTGAAGAAGATGAAAAACTTCATTTGAAGATAGAGAAATTATGTAGGCAACTAAAATCTTTAAAGCAGAACATTGATGATGCGCCTTATTTTATGACTTTAGAAGGGAAAGTTTCGTCTAAGGTCCTGGGTAAATATCTTACGATAAAAGATGCAGAAGATAGAGATGATTGGAATACTGCAAAATTCAGAAACGCGTTAGGGCGTGCTATAGATCAGATTAGAAATAAATTGGAGATAAAACAGCCTAATCATGTCGTTGGAGACAAAATAGAAGAACCGACAATGAATTTTGCAGTAAATTATTCGAACAAATCTACTACTAAAAGATTCTCACACGAAAGAGTCGAAAGACCTAGAGGTAGAGAAGAAAGTAGGTTAAATAGAAGTAAGGCAAAATGGCCTTGCCAGTTCTGTGATGGACCGCATACACCCGTAGAATGCAGCAGTCTTAGAACTGCAGAAGATCGAAGAGACAGAGCAAGTGAAAAAGGACTTTGCTTCAGGTGTCTCAAAAAAGGTCATCTCGCAAACAATTGTCATGTCCCAAAAAGAAGATGCTTACATTGCGGAAGAGCTCACCATCATTCGGCATTGTGTGAGCGCAAATTTGGAGAAGCAGCACAAGAGATACACAATCAGCATGGAGCAGGCGTTAGTGCCACGACTACCCAAAAGGAAATTGTCGCAGCCTTCCAGTCAATTGAAGGTGATTATTATGATAGACCCTTAGAGGTTAGCGGTGATCAACTAGATAACTACGGTGTTAGAACCGAAAAGGTATCTCAAAAAATTTTTAAGGGGGGAGGGATCTACGATGAGACAAATACGTCCTCGGTATTGAAGGTACCCATCAGTAAAAAATTGAATCTGGAAATTGAAGAAGGTATTAAGGATGGAGATAAGAAAAAATTATGCCCGGACCTTCTTAGTAAGGAACCTTTGGAAATTGAAACCGAGCTAGATGAGGAAATCAAAAACGATACATGCGGAATAAATTGGAATAAGGTTGTTAGTAACCAAAAATTAGAACATGAGAAGACTAAAGAAATTATGAGTCCTTTAAAGGACGAAAAGCGACCATCTAATTTCAAATGGAAGACGCATGTTAGAATGCAACCAAGTGGCAACCGAAGGCCCTTAGTGGCAAGGTCACCTATAGTAGTTATTGGAGATGATAGAGCCTTAGAGCTTCGAAAAATATTAAGAGAGGAAAATCTAAGAGGAATGGTTTTTAAACCAATATCCTGGGACGCCAATCTCTTCGATAGAGAGATTCAGCTTACAAGAAGCGTAGACACGTTAGTAGTGTGGACGCAAAGCATTAACAAAGGACTGTTTGAAGTCCTGAAAAAGGCCGACGAGTATAAGAAAAGTCTGAAGAAAATTGTTTGGATTAAACCGTTTGAGGGACTAGAATTTCAAGGCCTGAACAATGTCACGTCATTTCAAGAGCCGGAACATCTACAATCAATACTCATCAATCTGAACAAAATGGGTACCCCGCTCGTTTCAGTGAGAAATAATTTTTTCGGAATGAAAAATTTAGATGAAGCGTGTAATGCGGGATCTAAGAGCTCGTTTGGGAGCAATAGTAACAAATACCGATTTCGGGAATTTTATCCCAGGAAAAACGTTGCAGAACTAACGAAGGAACCATGCAATAAATTAGGCGTTGGAGCCTCCGCTAAGCAGGTAAACAACCTAGCAATGCAACAAATGGCAAACTTCGGCAGAAACTGGTCAATAAGAATATGCGCACAAATGCCAAGGATGCAAAGAACAAAAGAAAGATGTCTGGAACCAATTTCTCTTAAAGTGGGAGGATGTCGAAGTTCGACATTTTTAGTAAAATATTAATAAATTTTTATTTATTTCACATATTTTTCATGTGTTCCATTTTCTTTCTTTTTTAATCTTTGTCCCCTTATCTCTTTAAACTTAATCATTTTTTCTCTCTTTGTAGCGATTAAGTTTCTCATTCATTTGTGCTAGTATAATATTTCCGCCCTTAGCGGCGATGACTAAGCTTGAGAATAGGAAAGAATGATTGCCCTTAGTGGCGCTAATTAACTTCCTATAAAACTAAATGTATTTTTCCCTTTCTTTGGATTTTAATCATTCATTCATTATGTATTAATCTAAACTAAATCCCTTTCTCTACGATTTATATTATTATTTATTCTTGGAATAAATTAAATTATTTGGAAAATATTTGGATAAATATTTTAATTTTACAAGTGTTGTAGGACCTAATCGAATCGAATTTCGACAATATCAGTCAAAAAAAATAACTCAAAATTATTTATCCATAAATAACTTACTGTATATTAATAGGGTATAGTTTTTCTTGGTATATTAGATACTATATTTAATGGTAATTCGAATGGTATATCGTAACCCAATTCGCGATGTTTACTTCACTGGGCAAATCCACTTTGAAGATATCAGTCAAAAAAAATAACTCAAAATTATTTATCCATAAATAACTTACTGTATATTAATAGGGTATAGTTCGTCTTGGTATATTAGATACTATATTTAATGGTGATTCGAATGGTATATCGTAACCCAATTCGCGATGTTTACTTCACTGGGCAAATCCACTTTGAAGATACCAGTCAAAAAAAATAACTCAAAATTATTTATCCATAAATAACTTACTGTATATTAATAGAGTATAGTTCGTCTTGGTATATTAGATACTATATTTAATGGTGATTCGAATGGTATATCGTAACCCAATTCGCGATGTTTACTTCACTGGGCAAATCCACTTTGAAGATATCAGTCAAAAAAAATAACTCAAAATTATTTATCCATAAATAACTTACTGTATATTAATAGGGTATAGTTCGTATTGGTATATTAGATACTATATTTAATGGTGATTCGAATGGTATATCGTAACCCAATTCGCGATGATTACTTCACTGGGCAAATCCACTTTGAAAATATCAGTCAAAAAAAATAACTCAAAATTATTTATCCATAAATAACTTACTGTATATTAATAGGGTATAGTTTTTCTTAGTATATTAGATACTATATTTAATGGTGATTTGAATGGTATATCGTAACCCAATTCGCGATGTTTACTTCACTGGGCAAATCCACTTTGAAGATATCAGTCAAAAAAAATAACTCAAAATTATTTATCCATAAATAACTTACTGTATATTAATAGGGTATAGTTCGTCTTGGTATATTAGATACTATATTTAATGGTGATTCGAATGGTATATCGTAACCCAATTCGCGATGTTTACTTCACTGGGCAAATCCACTTTGAAGATATCAGTCAAAAAAAATAACTCAAAATTATTTATCCATAAATAACTTACTGTATATTAATAGGGTATAGTTCGTCTTGGTATATTAGATACTATATTTAATGGTGATTCGAATGGTATATCGTAACCCAATTCGCGATGTTTACTTCACTGGGCAAATCCACTTTGAATATATCAGTCAAAAAAAAATAACTCAAAATTATTTATCCATAAATAACTTACTGTATATTAATAGGGTATAGTTCGTCTTGGTATATTAGATACTATATTTAATGGTGATTCGAATGGTATATCGTAACCCAATTCGCGATGTTTACTTCACTGGGCAAATCCACTTTGAAGATATCAGTCAAAAAAAATAACTCAAAATTATTTATCCATAAATAACTTACTGTATATTAATAGGGTATAGTTCGTCTTGGTATATTAGATACTATATTTAATGTGATTCGAATGGTATATCGTAACCCAATTCGCGATGATTACTTCACTGGGCAAATCCACTTTGAAAATATCAGTCAAAAAAAATAACTCAAAATTATTTATCCATAAATAACTTACTGTATATTAATAGGGTATAGTTTTTCTTGGTATATTAGATACTATATTTAATGGTGATTCGAATGGTATATCGTAACCCAATTCGCGATGTTTACTTCACTGGGCAAATCCACTTTGAAGATATCAGTCAAAAAAAATAACTCAAAATTATTTATCCATAAATAACTTACTGTATATTAATAGGGTATAGTTCGTCTTGGTATATTAGATACTATATTTAATGGTGATTCGAATGGTATATCGTAACCCAATTCGCGATGTTTACTTCACTGGGCAAATCCACTTTGAAGATATCAGTCAAAAAAAATAACTCAAAATTATTTATCCATAAATAACTTACTGTATATTAATAGGGTATAGTTCGTCTTGGTATATTAGATACTATATTTAATGGTGATTCGAATGGTATATCGTAACCCAATTCGCGATGTTTACTTCACTGGGCAAATCCACTTTGAAGATATCAGTCAAAAAAAATAACTCAAAATTATTTATCCATAAATAACTTACTGTATATTAATAGGGTATAGTTCGTCTTGGTATATTAGATACTATATTTAATGGTGATTCGAATGGTATATCGTAACCCAATTCGCGATGTTTACTTCACTGGGCAAATCCACTTTGAATATATCAGTCAAAAAAAAATAACTCAAAATTATTTATCCATAAATAACTTACTGTATATTAATAGGGTATAGTTCGTCTTGGTATATTAGATACTATATTTAATGGTGATTCGAATGGTATATCGTAACCCAATTCGCGATGTTTACTTCACTGGGCAAATCCACTTTGAAGATATCAGTCAAAAAAAATAACTCAAAATTATTTATCCATAAATAACTTACTGTATATTAATAGGGTATAGTTCGTCTTGGTATATTAGATACTATATTTAATGTGATTCGAATGGTATATCGTAACCCAATTCGCGATGATTACTTCACTGGGCAAATCCACTTTGAAAATATCAGTCAAAAAAAATAACTCAAAATTATTTATCCATAAATAACTTACTGTATATTAATAGGGTATAGTTTTTCTTGGTATATTAGATACTATATTTAATGGTGATTCGAATGGTATATCGTAACCCAATTCGCGATGTTTACTTCACTGGGCAAATCCACTTTGAAGATATCAGTCAAAAAAAATAACTCAAAATTATTTATCCATAAATAACTTACTGTATATTAATAGGGTATAGTTCGTCTTGGTATATTAGATACTATATTTAATGGTGATTCGAATGGTATATCGTAACCCAATTCGCGATGTTTACTTCACTGGGCAAATCCACTTTGAAGATATCAGTCAAAAAAAATAACTCAAAATTATTTATCCATAAATAACTTACTGTATATTAATAGGGTATAGTTCGTCTTGGTATATTAGATACTATATTTAATGGTGATTCGAATGGTATATCGTAACCCAATTCGCGATGATTACTTCACTGGGCAAATCCACTTTGAAAATATTAGTCAAAAAAAATAACTCAAAATTATTTATCCATAAATAACTTACTGTATATTAATAGGGTATAGTTTTTCTTAGTATATTAGATACTATATTTAATGGTGATTCGAATGGTATATCGTAACCCAATTCGCGATGTTTACTTCACTGGGCAAATCCACTTTGAAGATATCAGTCAAAAAAATAACTCAAAATTATTTATCCATAAATAACTTACTGTATATTAATAGGGTATAGTTCGTCTTGGTATATTAGATACTATATTTAATGGTGATTCGAATGGTATATCGTAACCCAATTCGCGATGTTTACTTCACTGGGCAAATCCACTTTGAAGATATCAGTCAAAAAAAATAACTCAAAATTATTTATCCATAAATAACTTACTGTATATTAATAGGGTATAGTTCGTCTTGGTATATTAGATACTATATTTAATGGTGATTCGAATGGTATATCGTAACCCAATTCGCGATGTTTACTTCACTGGGCAAATCCACTTTGAAGATATCAGTCAAAAAAAATAACTCAAAATTATTTATCCATAAATAACTTACTGTATATTAATAGGGTATAGTTCGTCTTGGTATATTAGATACTATATTTAATGGTGATTCGAATGGTATATCGTAACCCAATTCGCGATGTTTACTTCACTGGGCAAATCCACTTTGAAGATATCAGTCAAAAAAATAACTCAAAATTATTTATCCATAAATAACTTACTGTATATTAATAGGGTATAGTTCGTCTTGGTATATTAGATACTATATTTAATGGTGATTCGAATGGTATATCGTAACCCAATTCGCGATGATTACTTCACTGGGCATGTAGTGAAGTAATCATTTCGAATGGTATATCGTAATATTTAATGGTGATTCGAATGGTATATCGTAACCCAATTCGCGATGTTTACTTCACTGGGCAAATCCACTTTGAAGATATCAGTCAAAAAAATAACTCAAAATTATTTATCCATAAATAACTTACTGTATATTAATAGGGTATAGTTCGTCTTGGTATATTAGATACTATATTTAATGGTGATTCGAATGGTATATCGTAACCCAATTCGCGATGTTTACTTCACTGGGCAAATCCACTTTGAAGATATCAGTCAAAAAAAATAACTCAAAATTATTTATCCATAAATAACTTACTGTATATTAATAGGGTATAGTTCGTCTTGGTATATTAGATACTATATTTAATGGTGATTCGAATGGTATATCGTAACCCAATTCGCGATGTTTACT